AATTTTCCGCTTTGAAGTTTTTCTTTCCTGATGTCGACGTCAAAGTAGCTTGATCAGGGCTGATAGCAGTGTTAAGCAATAAAAATAGTGAATTAGTGACTAAAATCATTATAAAAAGTGACCAAAATCATTTTAAAAAGTTACCAAAATGTGACTAACATTATCAGAAAACTTTCAGAAATAGAATTATGCAAATTGATTTGTCAGTCACCCAAAAAAATGTAGGCATCGATTTTCTATCTGTACGAATTCGTCAAAAGTTTATATTGCAAAATCTTGCACAACTAGATTAAAAACTAACAACACTGTGTAACACGACGTCCAATAACAGAGATATTTTACCATATTTGAAATGATTATGGTCTCCTGAATTAAAGTCTAGAGTAAATCTATTCTCTAACACGTCACGCGTTTTAGATATGAACTATGATAATCTTTATGCGATCTGCGAACTTGCATCACGAAGGTGCTCCGCGTTTGCTTGGTTACCTAATAAGAAGACATTACCTAATTATTAGAACTATTTACGAAGTGAGGAATAAAACGTCGAGATAGCGTTTTAAAATATTAAATAACATAGTTACGCAGATCTAATTCTTGAATTACTAAAAAAAACAGAATTCTTCTACAACAGGAGTTGCTATTCATGTGCCGAACATCTACTGGACCGAACAAGGCTGAATAAGTCATTAGGTCGTCTTGGGACAGGTTTTTCCGAATGTTTCTACAATAAAGTACCATAGTTTCACTAACCTATGATCCTAATTTCACGCATTTTTCGAAAATACAACCCAAATGTATAATGGAAACATTTTAAATTGAGCTAGAAATTCTGATAGGTATTATTGACTAGTGTAAAGGAAAAAAATATGATTTTAAAAAAATTTACAACATCTTTAGAGAACTATTTTAATTCACTCTGCAATGCTCATTACATTATTAAAATTTTTTGCTAGGAATTGCCTGAAGAATTCTCCTGAAAATTCACTTGGATTTCTCCTCAGCATTTACTTAATATTATGCAGAAATTCCCATGGAATTATCTTAGGAATATTTTTTTTAGTTCTGCTAGGAAATCCCAAAAATTCTTCGAAATGCTGATAATGATGATGATGATGGTCCCATCTCTTACCCCTACAAAGGTTTGAGCTGGACGATTTATGTTTAAGATTATTAAATATGACATTTCAACCAGGTTAGCAAACAAAATCGATTACATCTCAAAACCAAACGCATTATTTTATTCTGCATGCGCTGTAATCTCGATATTTGTGTTGCATTGGCCAGAAATAAAAAGGAAGGGCAAAAGTCTAGATGAGGAGAGATGATTGATTTGTATAGCTGTATTTGACTGGCAATAGTTAAATCGTTTTTCAGTGGACATAGAATTCCATTCTTCTTGGCAATTTTCTTGATGAGATTGTCAATGTGAGAGTTGAACTTAAGTGTGTCATCAATAATCACGCCAAGATATTTAATCTCCCGAACGCGATAAAAAGTCTCATCATCAATAACAACAGAGACGTTCTCATTTACTCGTTTCCGCGAAATTTCCATAAATTTAGTTTTACTTGTATTCAATTTCAACTGCTTATACTTCAACCATCTACTTAGAGAACGCAAATCTTCATTCAAGTGTAAAATGGCATCATATAAATCCTTAGCTGTATTGAATAACACAGTATCATCTGCGAAAAGATTAATATCGCAAAATCGTAAAACAAGTAATTAATATACATAATAAATAACAGGGGCCCTAATACACATCCCTGGGGCACTCCAAGGTTATTCCCCACGGGACTGGAAGCAGAATCATTAAAAACAGTCCGCTGAGTTCTGTGAGACAATTAGCTTTCAAACCATTTATATGCAGTACTCGTAATTCCAAAGCGCTTGATTGATCTTAACAATAAGGGCCTAGAAATTGTTTCAAAAGCGCGTTTAAGATCCGAAAAAAAACAGCAACAATCGTATCTTTACACTCCAAGTTATTTTTCCACTTCGCTAATACCAAATTCAACGCGGTTTCACAAGAATGACCTTCCCGATATCCCGATTGTTCTGGTATCAACAAACTATTACTATTTAAATACTCCAACAGCTGGCCTTTAACAACAAGTTCTAAAACTTTCTCTAATGTGTGAAAAATGTTGATGGGACGAAACTCTTCGGCTTTAATCGTTCCAGCAACTTTTTGAATAGGGACCACTAAGGATTCCTTCCAAATTTGTGGCACATGTCTAGTTTATAATGATTCATTAATAAGGTCCAGCAAGATGTGGCCAATGACAATGCTGCTGGGATTCTCGTTTGAATTATCTGAAAAAAATAAAACCAAAATATCCTTAGAATACTCTTCGAAATCCACTTGAAATTTAGCTCAGAATTTTCTAAGGATTTTCTAAGAAAGCCGTTGGAAGTATTCTTAAAATTCTAATTGAATATATGTTGGAATTACCGTTGAATTTTGCTCCTTTCCTTGGTATTCAACTCACAACTATGAAATTTTCACCTGAAAAATTACTGTCCGAAGTACCATGGTATTACATATCTCTAGAATCTATTCTAAAATCTGTTCAAAACTGCTTTGGTTAAGAGTTCTCGATGAACATTTCAAATGGTCCTATCTGCTTTGATCGATTCTCTTCATCGACTTTCTCTTTCGTTAATAACTTAGCTGCAAAACCTTTCCCTGTTGTATTTGACGTTTTGGACGATAGATAAGAACCTCCTTTATCAAACTATATGGTAGAATTAGCGCGAAATCTGTTTGCATAGCAGTGATTATGAAAAGAGAAAGTCGATGAAGAGAATCGATCAAAGCAGATAGGACCATTTGAAATGTTCATCGAGAGTTCTTTTAATAGTTCTTTAAAGTAACTGTATCCAAGGGTCTTGAGATTTTTTAAAGAGAGGAAGAAGCACCTTTTTTTCTATTTAGCATCGAAGTTCACGAGTTTATTCCGGTGACATCGAATTTCCGGCATTTTCCAGTTATCCCGATTTTCCGGTCACACTGATTATTTAATTTTACAGCTGAATTTGGACTCCTACAAGGTGCGAAATCTCAAATAAAAGTGTGCTTTGATGATGCATCGTCTTGGTTTCTTCTGCGTACTTTTTCGTAAGTTAGTTTAATGAACTTCCAACTAAGAACTAAGCATAGTGTAGCACTGTTACAATTTTTATTTATTTTTTAACAAATTTTACATTGCAATGCAAGCGGGAATGGCGAAAATAGTGACTTTAGTGACTTTTTGTCGAAAATAGGGACTTTTTAGTGACCACCTTCAAAAAAGTGACAAAGTCACTAAAAAGTGACCCGCTATCAGCACTGCTTGATATACTTGAATCATGCGAGGATAATACCGGTTGGAGCTTACCACCATAACAAGAGCAAATTCTCATTATGTCGTAAGTAACATTCGCACCAATCCGAGAAAAATAAGGTTTTGTTTTGATGACCGAAAAGTTATTCCTATTTTCAAGTTAACACATATAATCTCATAGAGATAGCAATGTTTAACATATTTAGCAGGGTTTTAATCATACAAATGCAAATCGCTAGCTTTCATGCTAAAAAATACTGGTTTTTTGAGTCAAAAGTTATTATACGTCGTTTGGTGGCCCCTATTGTTACTTAAGTCAAAGTGTATTTACCAGGATATTCGGGAGAATTATCAATTACGTCTCCTTACGTGCAGCCCATTCATCATTTTAGGACCACCGAAATCATCTTAGCAACAAACAGTTCGATTTATTCACTTTAATAATGAGAAAGCGAAACGACGAACGTACACTTTTCACGGGTTTCTCAGCGCTGTTACTTAAGTCAAACGGCATCTCCATAGAAATTGGGTGACTTAAGTAACATCGAAAACTATTTTGATCGGAAGGTGGGTGATTACGTCGAAAAGTAATTTGACTGGTAAATAAATTTAAAAATGGGGTTTGATCCTATATTCGGACAGTAGGGGAATTTACGTATTCTCGTCAATCTAAGCAGCTTCCGCACTTCTATTAGCATTTTCTCAGTGTCACGCACACATATGACGTGTCTGTTTGTTTACATTCATCTGCTGCTAGCTACTCTATCCATTCCAACCAACAAAACTGTCCAAAACGGTTTGAAAACGTTATTAAGGCGCTCCAAACTTCTCAGGTGAGTGTGACTATTGTCGGCAGCCTCTTTTACTTCGGCAACCTTTCCGTTCAAACTGCGTGTAAACCAGCTGTTCTATTATCGGCAACTCGAAATCAGCCGTATTTTGATGTGCTTATGTTTCTTTTGCAGAAACACCTGTCATAACAGGTTTGCTCAGTCGTAAAAATGTATTAGGATGGAAGTTGAAAGACTAAGGAATCGTTTAAATACATTCTGCGAAGTGTTTTAGTGAGAAAATACATCGAAATTAAAGTTTAAATTGTCGTTGCCGAAAACAGTTGATGGCTGCCGAAGCCATCATTTACCCTATATAGTGTAATAGCAGGAGAATCGATTGACACTGATAGCTCGACTTTGTTTACCTTTGTTACATTCGACGTAATGAAAATTTGCTCTTGATAAGAGAATTACAAGAAATCGGTTACTTTTTCAAAGGGACGTATCTGCTTTTGTAAACAAAGATTCAAACGTCAATTTGTCGAAATTTTAGCATACCCACGCAAAATCTCCATCAGACAAAAGCATACACCGAGAAACGTTGGCAACCTACGATACAAAACTGACAGCGTAAGTAAATATATACATCTGAAGGAAAAACCAAAACATTCCCACACAACCCCAACTGCACGAACACTCTCTTCCATCGATCACACTTCCACCGAGGTGTCGATCACGATCACCACCTAAGAAGACAACACTGCGAAGATCGAGACTGAACTCAATACTATAAATGTGTGAAAATTGCAGCACGAGGTAAAATCCCATACACTTTTCGATCGTTTTTAGCCGGTGTGATAGTTTTCCACGACCATCTACGCAGACTTTCCCCACTTACGAGTTTTCCGCACAGTTTCCAACACTTTTAAGTAATTTTTTACAACTTTTCCGGCTACTAAATTGCACTTTTTTATTCACTACTACCGCACAACCGAAAGGAAAAATGCGCACGAAGAAAGGAAAAGTTCTAATGTTATACCGGGAGGCAATTTAGAGAGAAGAGAGAGATAGAGAGAGAGAGAAAAAGTGGAAAATGAGCGATGAAAATGGTCAAGGAGGTAAAAATAGCTCAGGCAATGGTTGATCCCAGCGCAAAGGTTGTCTTCAAAGTTCGAATCGATTACGCATGCGCGTCTGTCGTTTTTCACCGATCAACTTTTTATTTATTGATTCATAAAAATTACTCTAACCAACTACAGAAAGGTATATTATAAACAAGTTTTCTCTTTCTTATTCTGTCTTTCAAATTGTTGTTCTCTGTTCCTTATACAAAACCGTCGACCCTTCGGGATCGTTTTTAAATGTTTTAATTTGATCTACACATTTTTATTTGTTTGTTCGGTTAATCTTAGATTGCCGGATTTTGGTTTCTGTAGATCACGGTGAGAAACGTAACTGCAATGCTAAGAATTCACTTTTCCTTGCGATCTAGAGTTATCCATTTAGTTTGGAGAATGTTAAAGATAGTTTTGGATGTTTTTCTTTCCTTTTTTGCATGGATTTTCTTTGTGTGAGCTGGATAAAGAACGAAACACGAGACGAAAAAATGTATCACCAACAACAGTTATGTTGAACAGTATTTGTGGTACTGCTACGAAATCTCCAATCGCACCGTTTTTTATCAGTTCTGAATGCTCCCCGCTTGGTTTTTGGATCAGACCGCAAAATTGTGGTTTTTTTTAACTAATATTCAGCTTATGTTTTCTTAATAGATGGCATCGTTCGCGGCGAGCTGTTGCAGTAGATTTCGGATGTTTCAGATCAGAAGAGCATTCGTGGAAGGTAGATGTACTTACGTTCACACTTTACATGCTCAGGTATCCTCGGGACCGGGTGCTGCGGCGTCCGGCCAGATAGGCGATCAGGACGATCACAATCAGCAGGATCAGGGCACAACCGACGGCAATCGGGACGATGTCGGGTGTATCGATGGCATCGCAGTCCTTGGCAATCGAGAACTTGGCGTTGTGTTTGTTGTGGAACGCCTCGAACTGCAGCTTGGATACGGTGACGGTCGAGTTGTATCCGGTAGGATCAACCGAGGTCAGGTTCAGCTGCTGGGGACGGTTGCAGTGGTAGGACATGTCCGTCGGGGTCTTGAACAAGGTCTGAGCATTGACTAGCCGGATGGTTTGGTTGTCTGAAATATAATAGTTTAGTCAATAAGTTCATGAATATGGCATTAAGTTGAAAATATGCCTTGTTGGATAGAAGATGAACAAAATCTCCCATGGTATGGCACCGAAATCTGTACACCTAAGATGTATACTGACGCTATTCGCATAACAGTTCTATGTCCTGTTCAATTCCTATTAATATGGGCCTTTATTTTTATTTTTATCATTAGAGTAAAAGGTGCTCAATTTAGGGCCAAATGATGCACTGAAGCAAGATCTATCCACACACTGACAAATGACCGCTCAGGGACTTTATTTACCCCCTGACGATAATAGGTTAAGATATTGCGGAAGCTACTCTTGGGTCATTCGTGACTTGTCCGGGGCTGAGATTTAAGCTCGTGATTTTGGCGTGACCGTTAACCGCTACGACGGGGCCGTCCTAGACATGGGACTGTTATGCGAATAGTGACAGTATACAGTTTACTACATCCCCTAGCCCCTATTCCTTATTTCGGTCGAAATACGTTTCCTATTATTATAATACCTGTTATATGTGTGCGAAATGCGTTTCGATCGACACCGGGAATATTGGTGACAATTTGCATGAGGCTTCCGATAAATTTCTTGGGTGTACGGATTCCAGTCCCATCAATATCTTTGATTACATTTTTATGAAATTACCTAAAGTTTAATACCGTTTAACAGTAAATACTCACCCTTAGCATTGGGGAACTGTTCGCCGTAGACCACCAGGGTGAAGTCCAGTCCGGCCAGGGAAAACTCGTGCTCGGTGGTGTTTAGCATGAAGCTGACCTGAAGGAGGCTTGGCACGGTCGATTCAGGGCCCCACCGGAGCACGATGAACTGGGATTCGCTGCCGCAGGAACCGTTGACGACTTGAGCGTTCTTCGGGACGTCGTACAGGGCATGAGCTGGCTTATCAGCTGCAATTGGTAAGCATTAGAAACGGAAAAAAAGTCAGCTTCAATTTGTTATGTAAAAGGTGCAGAGATACGGTGCACATGAAAAATATTGGAAAAAGAGAAAAAGACGAAGAAGAATTCAATCAAATACATATGGGCGATAGGAACAACAAAATAAACAAGCAAATCGATAGAGCTGTACGTTGCTTTCCGGGAACTGATAGAACGCTTGCAAGAGGTAGCAAAAATCAATGGGGATTATAAATGTTTTTTTTACTCGATGTCAGTTTATGCACATTGCAAAATTTGTTTGAAATGTTGTACGTCGAGGGTTGAGTAGAACCCATTCGAAAATGGCGCGAAGCGGAAGTGAATTGACTACTACAAGCGTAATAGAGGTTAAATATGCTTTATAGACATAAGCAACGTGAATATCAGCTATACCAGAGACATGTTATAATTTTAGTAGTAAATGATAATGATGATCCCACCTTTTACCCCTACAAAGGTTTGAGCTGGACGATTTATCTTTAATATAATTGAATATGACATTTTAACCAGGTTAGCAAACAAAATCGAACTGGTTACACGGCGAATGAGAACGACCCAAATTTGAGATTAGTTCACTCATAATCGCCAAAAGTGCAGGAACTCAGCGATGAGTAAAATTTGTCTCATGGTTTCCTGTGGCAAACCTAAAAAATCTTCCGGAAAATGAGGAAATTGACGAAAATTTTATTCAGTCTCGGAGTAGTACCAATAGACTGAGTGAATCCAATCTTTAATTTTCTCAAATTCGGGAATTTTCCCTGGAAAATCCTGGGAAAACATGAGGCAAATTTACAATTCACTGCGTCCTAGCAAGAAGAACGGTCGACTTGTTTCGCGCTCCGTTAATTTGGAAGTTTTCTCGCTATTATCTGACGTAAATAATCAGTTTTTTCTCGCTTAGTGATTCTTGGCATAATTCCCGATAAATTTATCAAAAAGTGAGTTTTTTTCTGAGAAGAAAGTGTGTTTTCGGCATCATCGGAAGGAAAATTGTTTTTGCGATTGCCAATTCGCCAACCATTTTGCGCACCATCGGTGCGTGGTCACGCATACCTGTGCACACGGATCATCGTCATCGAGTGTCAGCATCTGCCTCCACATTCAAACCGCTCATCCATCTCGTGTGTTCAGCTGAGTGCCGAGCTTCATACAAGCACACACCAACGAAGACCGCCCGCACACGCGGATCGAAGATCATCAAAGCTGCGCGTCGCTCCGCTGCTGCTGTGTAAACGCTCGGTGGTAGTAGTATAGGATTATCAGATAAGTTTTTGTTCTTGTTTCTTTCTTTCTCCCATCAGTTAAATTTTAAGTTTGTGTTTCTGTGTTTGTATTTTTTTTTTCTCGTGTATTGTGTCCGAGTAATTTTGATTATCGTTGCAGTGGTAGAGCGGTTTTCGCTCCCACTAGTACGGCAAAATGGACATTTTGTCGGAAGACGAAATGGACGTTTTGTCGGAAGATGACACCACTTTGCCACGCGATAGCAAGAAGGGTCGAAAACGTCTGTCATCCCAGAAATCAGATGATGCCATCCCTGCTTCGTCATCTCAGTCTGGTAATGGACAGGGACAGATAAGCCCCCGATCGCGAGCCTACCCAGAAGACTCGACTGGCCCATGGGTTGTTTACTTTCAGCCCAAAAAGAAACCTTTGAATGTAATGCAAATTACTAATGATCTGACGAAGCGGTTCTCGGCCGTGACCGAAATCTCGAAGGTGAGGTACAATAAACTTCGCGTTGTCGTCTCTAACCTGAAACAAGCTAACGAGATTGCTGCCTCCCAGCTCTTTCAACTCGAGTATAGAGTGTACATCCCAGCTCGTAATGTGGAGATCGAAGGTGTGGTCACCGAAGCGAGTCTGACCCCCGAGATCTTGGCGAAGCAAGCGGTTGGCCGTTTCAAGAACCCCTTGCTTCCCACGGTTGAGATACTGGAAGTCCAGAAGCTGAACTCAGTATCTTTCAGCGAGGGTAAAAAGAGCTTTACCCCCACAGACTCGTTTCGAGTGACCTTTTCTGGTTCAGCCCTTCCTCACTACATCGAGTTGGGAAAACTTCGGCTACCTGTGCGTTTGTTTGTTCCTCGGGTCATGAACTGCCAAAACTGCAAACAGTTGGGACATACGGCCTCTCACTGTGGCAGCAAGGCACGCTGTTCCAAATGCGGGGAGAAGCACGAGGATGGCGCCTGCACAGTCACTGCACCAAAATGCGTGTACTGTAAGGGAACTCCTCATGGTCTCTCATCGTGCCCGGCGTACAAACAACGCGGGGAGAAACTAGAACGCTCTCTTAAGGAGCGTTCCAGGCAGTCTTTTGCAGCAATGCTAAAAACAGCCGCACCATCAACCAACGACAAAAATCCCTTTGCTGTTTTGTCTGATGACGAGTCTGACTCTGACTTGGCTGAGAAGGGAGTTTCTTTCAGTTTTCCGGAAGGTTCTGCACGGAAACGAAAACGCATCCGTTCGCGGAAAGTTGCAGATAAGGAACCCCAAATCAGCTTGCCCAAATCAAGGAGTGATGGAAAAAAGGAAGTTTCAACTCCTCCTGGTTTCCGCGGAACTGACTATAACCAGAACTTTCCATCTCTCCCGGGGACATCAAAAACCCCTGATGGCCCATTTTTAAGAACAGAAGCCCCTTCTTCATCCGGGTTGTTCTCATTTGATAAAATTGTGGACGATATTCTCAAGTACCTCAATATTTCTGATCCTCTCAAAAGCATTGTTCTGGCAATGCTTCCTTCTGTGAAGACCCTCTTGAAGCAATTGACATTGAAGTGGCCCCTCATTGCAGCAATCATTTCCTTCGATGGATAATTTTCCAAACGAGGTCGGGGATTTGATCACTGTTCTACAGTGGAATTGTCGAAGTCTCATTCCTAAATTAGATTCTTTTAAGTTTTTAATTCACAATAATGATTGTGATGCATTTGCTGTTTGTGAAACTTGGCTCTCTTCAGATATCGATCTTCCTTTTTATGATTTTAACATTATTCGACTGGATCGTGAGGATTCGCGTGGAGGAGGGGTACTTTTGGGGATCAAAAAGTGCCATTCCTTCTATAGAGTGAATCTTCCACAATTTCCAGGTATTGAAGTTGTTGCATGTCAGGCTATTATTAAAGGTAAGAGCCTTTGTATTGCTTCTGTTTATATTCCTCCTAGAGCCGTTGTTAATCGCAAACAACTTTCAGATATCTGTTCGGTACTTCCTGCTCCACGGTTGATTATGGGAGATTTGAATTCCCACGGTACAGGCTGGGGGGAACTGCATAATGACAACCGTTCTACTTTGATATATGACCTCTGCGACAGCTTTAATATGACAATTCTTAACAATGGAGAAGTAACACGTTTGGCTGGCCCATCCTCGAATGGAAGTAGATTAGACCTCACACTTTGCTCTAACTCATTATCGTTGGATTGCACGTGGAATGTGATCCAAGATCCCCACGGTAGTGATCACTTGCCGATCAAAGTTTCAGTTGCCAGTGGGTTCAATCCGTCGGAACCCGTTAACGTCGCGTACGATCTTACCCGTAATATCGATTGGACAAAGTTCAAGAATGTGATAGAAGATGCCCTAACGTCGGTAGAAGGGCTTCCACCGTTGGAGGAATATAACTTCCTCTCCAATCTGATCTTGGACAGCGCGCTTCGAGCTCAAACTCGGCCGGTTCCTGGAACGTCTTTGCGTAGGAAACCTCCTTCCCCTTGGTGGGACCACCAATGCACAGAGGTTTATCGTAAAAAGTCCGACGCGTTTAAGCTTTTCCGGAAACGTGGAACACCCGTGTATTTCGAAGCGTACTCGGCTCTTGAACGCGAACTCAAGAGCCTCATCAAAGCCAAGAAACGCGGATACTGGCGGCAATTCGTGGACGGATTATCGCGCGAAACGTCGATGAATACGCTTTGGAATGCGGCGCGAAGGATGCGTAACCGGTCTTCAAACAACGAGAGCGAGGAGTACTCCGATAGTTGGATTCTCAAGTTCGCGCGAAAAGTATGTCCTGATTCTGTGCCGGCACAGATGATTCCTCGCGAAACGACGAATTCGGTAGACGAGATCAGCCAGCCTTTTTCAATGCTGGAGCTCTCACTCGCGCTCCTTTCGTGTGGCAATTCGGCTCCGGGGGCTGATAGAATCAAGTTCAACTTGTTGAAGAACCTCCCAGACGTCGCTAAGAGGCGCATGTTGAACTTGTTTGGTCAGTTTCTGGAGCTAAATATTGTTCCGGATGATTGGAGGCGGGTGAGAGTTATAGCCATTAAAAAGCCTGGAAAACCCGCGTCAGATCACAACTCGTATCGTCCCATTGCGATGCTATCGTGTATTCGAAAATTGTTGGAGAAAATGATCCTTTTTCGCCTGGACAAATGGGTTGAGTTGAACCACCTACTCTCAGATACTCAATTTGGTTTCCGTAGGGGCAAGGGAACGAACGACTGTCTCGCGTTGCTTTCCACTGAAATTCAGTTGGCTTTTGCTAATAAAGAGCAAATGGCTTCTGTCTTCTTGGATATTAAGGGGGCTTTTGATTCAGTATCGGTTGAAGTCCTTTCAGACAAACTCCACGGTTGTGGCCTTTCTCCATTAATTAATAACTTTTTGTACAATTTGCTGTCAGAGAAACATATGAGCTTTTCTCATGGAAACTCTACAGCTTCACGATTTAGCTACATGGGTCTCCCCCAGGGCTCATGTTTAAGCCCCCTTCTGTATAATTTCTACGTCAGAGAAATTGACAATTGTCTAAGGGACAACTGCACGTTGAGACAACTTGCAGATGACGGAGTAGTGTCTATGACAGGACCCAGAGAGGCCGACCTGCAAGGACCCTTACAGGATACCTTAGACAATTTGTCTACTTGGGCTATCCAGCTAGGTATCGAATTCTCCACGGAGAAAACTGAGTTGGTCGTTTTTTCTAGGAAGCATAGCCCAGCACAACCGAAGC